AGCAGGGCTGCCATGTATGGGTTGGTATTGGTGAAAAAAAAATTGTCCAATTCCTCAGCAAAATAACATTTGTATTTGTTTTTGTTTTTGTTTTTGTTTGTTTGTTTGTTTGTTTGTTTGTTTGAAATGGACTTTTAGTCTGTTGCCTAGGCTGGAGTGCAATGGCAGGATATTGGCTCACTGCAACTTCCGCCTCCTGGGTTCAAGCAGTTCTCCTGCCTCAGCCTCCTGAGTAGCTGGGATTATAGGCACATGCCACCATGCCCGGCTAATTTTTGTATTTTTAGTAGAGACAGGGTTTCACCATGTTGGTCAGGCTCGTCTCGAACTCCTGACCTCATGATCCACTCGCCTCAGCCTCCCAAAGGGCTGGGGTTACGGGCGTAAGCCACAGCACCTGGCCATGACATTTGTTTTGACATGCTACATAATCAACCCTGGTCTCCCTTTCATGTTTTCCAGCCTGGTATATTGTCCTGGCTTCCCTTATCTCTTCAGCCTGTTTAGAAAGGCAGTAGCATCCCTAGGGTTTAAAACAGTGCCTAGCACATATTAGGCACTTAATATATTTTTGTTAATAAATAAGTATCTTTAAAACTCCCAAGAGCATTTTTTTTGGTGTATGATTTAATCTGAAAGTTTGAAGCTTTAAATCCTTTGACTTTATATTACTGTGATTTTCCAGAGAATAATAAAAAGTATGTTATTTGGAGAAGTACTGTTTACTTTTTCTTATGCTGTAAAAGTTGGTTGATTCGTGATTGGTTATTTAAAGGTTCCATTGTATTCTTTTTTTTTTCTTTTTGAGTCTCACTTTATTACTTTATTGCCCAGGCTAGGCTGGAGTGCAATGGCACAATCTCAGCTCACTGCAACCTCCACTTTGGAGGTTCAAGCAATTCTTCTGCCTCAATCTCCTCAGTAGCTCCAATTATAGGCATGCACCACCACACCTGGCTAATTTTTATATTTTTTAGTAGAGACAGGGTTTCACCAGGTTGGCTAGGCTGGTTATGAACTAGCCTCAGGTGATCTGCCCACCTTAGGCTCCCAAAGTGCTGGGATTACAGGCATGAGCCATTGCACCCAGCCAAGTTCTGTTGTATTCTTTTCTTCATTAAGAGGTTATTTATAAGTCATACCCATAAGTCATACTGATATGTCTCCTACATTTGGTATGATAGCCTAAATTATAAAATTATCATATTGCCCCCAGGTATTAGGGGCAATATACGATATATTTCTTAAGAATAAAACTGAGGAAACATTGTTATTACAAATTCATGTCATTGATTTGAGCTCCTGTTTCAAAAATTGAGTTAATTTGCTTGAACTGAGCTAAATGTTTACTTTTGTAGAATCCCTGAATAAAAGCAGATCGGTGATATAGTATAAATATGATTACATAAAGATGATCAGCATATTTAAGAGAACAAGCGACTTGCAGGTAATCATTTGAAATAATCCTTAATTTATTCAGCCAATATTTATTAAGTAGCTATATGCACTAAGCATGGATCTAGAAATATAAGGATATATAAGGGATAGCCACTAATTTTAAGGAATTTTTGATTTAATAGGAATATGAGTAAGTAACAAGTAGATATAATAATATGTTATAGTCACCAGGATAGCAGTCTTAGTAGGGGTGGGGATGGGGGTGGGATGGGGATAGAGGTAGGAGTGTAATGGTGATTTTACCTATGGCATTGGGAATGAGGTAGAAAATTCTTCAAAGAGAAAGTAACACTTGAACCAAATCTCTGAAGTTAAGAATGTGGTTGTGTGGGCCAAGTGGGTGGTAGGTAGCATGAAGATATTTTTTTAAGGTATAAAGAGCAACATGATCCAGAGGTTTGAAATAATCCATTGTTTGGCAGGGGTGGAGCATAGACTACCTGTTGTGGCTGTAAAATGTGAGATAAGGCTGGAGTGATGGGCAGGGGTCAGGGCATGGATGGCCAAGTACCATGTACCAGAGGAATTTGAAGTTTATCTTGCAGGTAGTGGAGAACCAGTAAAGGCCTTGAGGATAATAACAGTTCACTTTAATGGTTTGTCAGCACTGCATTAATGATGGAGCTAGAGGTAGACTGTTACATACTCCATATAAGCAAAATCAAGGTCCTGAACTAAGAATGTAGCAATCAAGATGAAGAAGAAGACAGATTAGAGAAGTGCTCGAATATGTAGGGCTTCCTAATCAATTGTAGAGGGAGGTATGGTGAGAGGCAGGAGTAAGGAGAGAAGTCACGATCTCAAATATATTCAAGAGCCAGGCAAGTGATATAAATGAATGAAAGGAGCTTCAGCATCCCTTGTGGTCACTATGAGGACTACATGAGTCAGGAGCTCATCTGCTACTCATCTCTAGGCACTTGTTCCAAGGAGGTAGGGTGTAGTGTTGCCTCATCATCTTCCGATTTTTAAAGAGATGCCTGAATGTATTTTATGGTCAATCTCCCAAATCTTAAATGTTGGCCCAAAGTTTTTTAAGGTACTTCCTAGACCATATAAAAACAACTTCAGTAAATAAGCAGGTATGTTGCAGCCTCTGTTCTGGGATAATTCTGTTTTCTACCTTAAATTATTAGAATCATGGTGCCTGCTAAGAGAGGTAGATCTCTTCATATACTTACATGGATATGTTAATTAGCTTGATTGTGGAAATCATTTGACAATGTAGACACGTATCAAAACATCACATTGTACACTTTGAATACATAAAATTTTATTTGTCAATTATATCTCAATAAAGCTGGGGGAAAACAAAACCATCAGGTTAAAAAATGAAGTATTATGCTATTCAATAAGAATTAAAGGAAGGCAAGCATGTCAAGAGGTGGGGTGGAACAGGCTAATGATTAGATTTTGTTGTCCTGGTGCTTGAGGAGGCGAGGCTTCGTGTTCGAAGCTAGCCTGGGCAACTTAAGAACCTCTCATTCATTAAAAAAAATTAATAATAGATTTTGAGCATTCAGAGTTTGAGGTAGCTTTATTAACAGGAAGCTACAGATATAGAACTGGAACATGAGTAAAATATGGTCTGGAAAATAAAGATTTGAGAGTTGTCAGTAATAGATGGTAGAGGAAACTGCTGGGAGTGAGTTTTGCCCATGGAAAACAATATAGAATGGCATCAAAAGAGAACAAGGAACAGAATCTGAGAGAACGCTATCATTTAAGAGGCAGGTAGAGGAAGAGAAGCAAGCAAAAGACAATAAAGTTGCCAGAGAAGTAGGGAAAGAACTAGAGAGAGGTATATCTTGCAAGTCCAGGGAGATAAATTTATTTTAAGTGTCAGATACGTTAAGTCAAGAATACAATAAAAAAGGAGAAAGCAGCTGGGTGCAGTGGCTCACACCTGTAACCCCAGCACTTTGGGGGCAGATCACGAGGTCAGGAGATTGAGACCATCCTGGCCAACATGAAACTCTATCTCTACTAAAAATAACAAAAAAATTAGCTGGGTGTGGTGGTGCACACCTGTAATCCCAGCTACTCGGGAGGCTGAAGCAGGAGAATCACTTGAACACTAGAAGTGGAGATTGCAGTGAGCCGAGATTGTGCCACTGCACTCCAGCCTGGTGACAGAGCAAGATTCCGTCTCAAAAGGAAGGAATCGTGGAGGGGTGTGTGTGTGTGTGAGAGAGAGAGAGAGATTATGCAATTATGAGATTATGGTTGATGCTTAAGGCTTAAATGTTGACTAGTTGCTGAAGGTGATAGGGACAAGAGGCAAAGTTGCATTATGTTAGAGAACACAATAGCAACTGAGATCCCCTTGGTTCTGTTTTTTTGTTTTGTTTTGTTTTTAGCAAAGTTTAGCACTTGCTCTGCTCTCTCTAGTGGAATGTTACTGAGAAGTGTTTCCAGTGTTTCTGAAGAAAACAATCCCAGGCAGTTGTAGGGAGAATTAGCCAGCTTCCTATATGGTGAACTCCTGATAGAATCATAGATATTCGAAGTAGCAAGAAGGTCTTAAATTTGCATAAGGCATTGGAGCTCAATCTTGGTTACATATTAGAGTCATCCAGGGGCCTTTAAAAAAGTACTGATGACTGGCCAGGTGCGGTGGCTCACGCCTGTAATCCCAGCACTTTGGGAGGCTGAGCTGGGCAGATCAAGAGGTCAGGAGATTTAGACCATCCTGGCTAACATGGTGAAACCCTGTCTCTACTAAAAATATAAAAAATTAGCTGGGTATGGTGGTGGATGCCTGTAGTCCCAGCTACTTGGGAGGCTAAGGCAGGAGAATTGCTTGAACCCAGGAGGCAGAGGTCGTGCCCCTGCACTTCTGTCTCAAAAAAAAAAAAAGAAAAAAAATTACTATTGCCCAGGCCCTGCTCCAAATCAGTTAAATCAGAAGCTCCATGGACCTGCTCCAAATCAATTAAATCAGAAGATATTCCCGGTTGATTCTACTGTATTTACATGATTCAGAATTACTGACCTAGTGGAACTGGAGTCACCTGAACCACTTGGGAACCACCCCGAACCACTTGCAAAAATATATTTATTCCTTGATTTGTAATAATAATGATAATTGCTACTATTTCATTAACTTAAATATGCAATAAATAATACTTTTTTTACTTTAATTGTTTAAATTATGTTCTGTGCCTATAATCCCACCAAACTGACAAAAAAACTTAAGAGCAATCCTTTAAGCCTTCTCTCCTCTCCCAGTTATTCTAGGTTCTGCTCTCTTATACATGGCCAAGTTGTCAGATACTGTTATATCATCTTGTTCAGCTAATTAAGAAGTACAACTGAGACAGTTGCCACCCCATTTGTTGTGTGTGGTGCCTTTCAAGATAGCCCCCAATGATTCTCACCTCCTGATATTCACGCCTTTGTGTTGTCTCCTCCCATGTCATACCAAGGTTGGTTTTTGTGACAAAATTCAGGGTAGTGATGATGTGTTGCTTGTGATACTGTATCCGAAAAGACATGGTGATGTCTGACTTGTTCTCTTGTTTATCTCTCTCTCGGTGAAGCCAGCTACCTTGCATGAGGATACTCAAGCATTCCTATGGAGAGACCCACATGGTAAGAAACTGAAGCCTCCTACCAAGAGCCAGCACCAACTTGCCAGCTATGTGAATGAGCCATCTTAGAAATAGGTTATCTAGCCCCAGCCGAGCCTTCATATGACTGCAACTGGGGCTGATATCTTAACTTACAACCTCATGAGAGACTCTGAACCAGAACAACCTAGCTAAGCAGCTCCTGAATTCCCTACCCACAGAAACTATGTGAGATAATGTTTGTTGTTTTAACTAAGTTTTTAAGTGGTAATTTGTTATACAGAATATATAGTGAATACAGCATGGCTTTATTAGGTCTAAATGTCATCTCTTGCCCAAAAGAATCCTGCTGTTTCATGAGGCATTTGAGCATGGAAATTCTTGTGAGGTTGCCTCTGTCCCTGTTTGTTCCAACATACCATGTAGTTATTCCTTCACTGGGCTTGCACCTTCCCAGTCTCTGCTCAGGAAGTAAAGCCTAAGTTTCCTCTTTTCCTAGAAATACAGACCTATTTGTAGACCTCCTGTTCTTCATCTTCTCTCTGGGGATATTTTGGTTTTGTCTTGGAGAAGTTCTCCTTATTTTTGGCCACGATCCTTTGTACTTGAACCTTCTCAACCTCTCCAGGACTTTTAGAAATAAAAGGCAGAAAACTTACAAGCTTATCTTCTTTCTACCATGTTGTAATGCCTCCCCTGAGACAGTGGACACATGGCTGGCTCTTCGAATTTTGTGAGCTGTAGAAAGAAAGGGGAAAATGAAGGGAGGAAAAAGGTGAATATCTCAAAGTACTATTCTACCAGAATTATCAATATGTGTTGAGTTCTTACTGTGTGCCAGATACTATACCAAATGCTTTACATATTTTCTCTCATCTAATTCTTATAATAACCTATGAAGTAAGTACTATTGTCATGCTTATTTTACAAAAAAGATGATCAGATTTGAGAGATTAAGTAACTTGCCTCATGTTCCGCTGTTTTTAGATGGTAATGCTGAGATTCTATCAGGAATCTTGACTCCCAGCTCCAACTTTTGACCGTTAGCATGCAAGTTATTTCCATGTGGTTGGGGTAGGGAAGAAGGTCGATCTAAGGGTGCTTTCCTTTGGCTTCATTTGTTCACAAAAATTAGTATACCAATCATACCTAAGACTTGTCTGTTCTTGAAACATTTCTGACAGTGGCTTCTACTTGGCAACACTTTGTAGGCAGGTGGATCTACTCTTTACACTTGAAATGTTGAAAACTGCAGGTCTTCTAAAATACAGTTCAGTTCAGTCATTTCATTTAATTAAGAAGGCCATCTGTCTATCCAGCATGTTTTCCAAGTGCCTCTGCATAGGTACTATGTGAAATGCTGGGGATACCAAGATGAATTCAACACTCACCATGAGCTCTGTGTATGGTGTTTAGATGAAACAAACATGAAAACTAATTACAGCAATGAGATGAGTTTTGTATCTTAACAGCACATGAATATGTGTTCTGGAATGCAGAATTTTATTCATACTAATCTCAGGTATGTCAGGGAAAACTTCTCAAAGGTAATAAGCCTTCAAGGATGAGTAGGACATTCTGGACAGAAGAAGTGATATAGGCAAAAATGCTTGGCAATTTTGGAGAGCAGTACACAGTTGAGAATAATTGGAGAGGATGATGTATGTTTATAGGATCCAGATAATGAAGACACTTGTTCTACCATGCTAACAAGTTAAAATAATTAAAACTCTCACCCCACAGGAGGAATCTTGGCCACAAATATTCTTTGGTGTAGATTTTTTTTTCTTGAATTTGAATGTCTTTAAGAAAAAATACATTCTCTAGTCTTCTGTCTCCTCAGGCTCACCCCTCCATATTTAGGTTACCTAGCTATCCCCGCAGACAGTTGAGCTTACTTCCTCTCCTGCAGCAATGGGGAGTCATGAAAGACTATCTTAAGGGAGAGAGAACATGAATAGTACTTGCTCTTTCAGAGACTATTCTAGCTTACCGTGGAGGTTAAATGGTGAGACCACTTGTGAAGGAATGGTGCAAGATAAAGAAATGTGTTAGCTCGGGCTGCTATAAAAGAATACCATAGACTAGGTGGCTTAAATACAGATATTTATTTCTCATTATTCTGAAGGCTAGAAAGTCTTAGAACAAGGTACAAGGGAATTCAATTCGTGGTGGGGTCTTCCTGCATGTAGATGGCTACCTTCTTACTGTATCCTTAAAGAGAGAGAGGGTGCTCTGGTTTCCCTTCCTCTTATAAGGGTACTGATCCCAATATGGGGCCTCTACCCTCATGACTTCATCTAAACCTGATTACTTGCTAAAGGCCCCACCTCCTCATACCATCACATCGGGGGTTGGAGCGTCAGCATATGAATTTTGAGGGGGATATAAACACTGAATCCATAACAGTGCCTTACTGGGTGAAAAGGCTGAGTGAGAGGGAGGAATAATAGTTCTCAGTTTCCCACTGAATGAATGGTGGTTCCATTAACCCAAAATGGGTAACACAAGAGGTTTTATTCTATATGTTTATATGAAGTTGTAAAATTTCTTGGGAAGGATTGCGGAGCAGTTGCTAAAGTCTACTTAATGTCTATTGGAAGTACCTAGATGAAGTTCACCAGGAGACTTCAAAAATGTCTTAAAGGTTCCTATAAATATTGTGACATAGTTATGTCATGAATCAGGATACATGGTAGGACCTGTTGGGCATTGATGATAACAGTAAGACATAATATTTAAAATAGGAACTGTTCTGAAAAATCTAGAGTATATGGTCACTGGATATAAAAATTACTTTTTTATCTCATCTAGGTTATCTTTAATCAAAGAACTCTCTGAATAAAAATACTATTTTTAGGATGTGCATGTTTAAATAAACATGTCTCAGGTACAGCTAATCAATCTATAGGTTATTTCATTATTTTCATCTTAAATAATAATTTCAAACTCCTTACCATGCATTTCTACAGAGCTGTTAATAGGAAGCCTCTATCAACTGACTTGAGTTTCCTCTCATTTTCCCAGCTGACATTCACTGGAGGATATTAATGGGAAATATAATATTTAAAAGACAGGAAACAGGAGAAATATAGGTAGTCTTCAAATTGTATACTCAGGCACTGAGTATAGAATAATTGTAGCTTCAGGAAAATCAGCTCTGCAATCTGTAAAGTATCTAGCACCCTCGAAGTGTAGAGTACATATAAGAAGGAAAACCACAGCGTGGCAATGTCTTCCTATTATTCCATACATACTAATGTGTTATATTTTTAGAAATGCTTGATAAATTGATTTTATGCTTGAAATGATTGTCACAAAGTTTCACAAAACTTTGGAAACACAATTAACCCAAAAATATTGAGTGGGATACTATGTAGAATACAAAGATGTGTAAGACATGAATTGCTTTAGGCATTTAATACTTAATAGAGGAAATAAGGCACATTCATGAAAAAGATAAGTTACTATGTGATGTCAAGCAACAGTTATTTTTTCATATCTATGAATTTATTAGAGACAAGAAAAAATTTCACAAAAAATTGGCATTTTCCATATAACGAAAGAAGCTTGACTTCTAAAATATAAGCGCAGAAAGGAATAAAAATAAGTTAAGGAAATATTTCAAAGCTTACAATGCAGGAGGAAATTTTTTTTCTTCAGACTTTTCTTTCAGGTGCAGGGGTGTACACATGGAGGTTTGTTACATAGGTAAATTGTGTGTCACTGGGGTTTGGGATACAAATAATTTCCTCACCCTCATGGTGAGCATAGTATCTGATAGGCAGTTTTTCACTTCTCGCCCTCCTCCCATCCTTCACCCTTAGTAAACCCCAGTGTCTTATTTTCTCCCTCTTTGTGTCTATGTGTACTCATTGTTCAGCTCCCACTTATAAGTGAGAACATTTGGGGTTTGGTTTTCTGCATTAATTTGCTTAGGATAATGGCCTCTACTTGCATCCATGCTGCAAAGAACATGATTTCATTCTTTCTTATGGCTGTGTAGTGTTCCATGGTGTATGTATACCACATTTTTTTAAATCCAGTCCACTGTCAATGTACATCTAGGTTGATTCCATATCTTTGCTATTGTGAAAATTGCTGCAAAGTATATGTGAATGCATGTGTCTTTGAGTTTCTGTTTTTGTTTTTGTTTTTTTTGAGAGAGGGAATGTGTCTTTATGGTAGAATAATTTATATTCCTTTGGATATATACCCAGTAATGAGACTGCTGGTTTGAATGGTAGTTCTGTTTTAAGTTCTTTGAGAAATCTCCAAACTACTTTTCATAGCGGCAGAACTCATTTACATTCCCACCAGCAGTGTATAAGCATTCTCCTTTCTTGACAATCTCACCAACATGTTATTTTTTTGACTTTTTAAAAAATAGCCGTTTGGGGCCAGGCACGGTGGCTCATGCCTGTAATCCCAGCGCTTTGCAGGGACGAAGCAGGCAGATCACAAGGTCTGTAGATCAAGACCATCCTGGCTAACACAGTGAAACTCCGTCTCTACTAAAAATACAAAAAATTAGCCAGGCATGGTGGCACATGCCTGTAGTCCCAGCTACCTGGAAGGCTGAGGCAGAAGAATTGCTTGAACTTGAGAGGCAGAAGTTGCAGTGAGCTGAGATCACACCACTGCATTCCAGCCTGTTGATAGAGTAACACTCTGTCTCAAAAAAAAAAAAAAAAAAAAAAAGCCATTTTGACTGGTGTGAGATGGTATCTCACGGTGGTTTGGATTTTGATTTGCATTTCTCAGCCGGGCACAGTGGCTCATGCCTATAATTCCAGCACTTTGCGAGGCTGAGGTGGGCAGGTCATGAGGTCAGGAGTTCGAGACCAGCCTGGCCAACATGGTGAAACTCTTGTCTCCACTAAAATACAAAATAATTAGCCAGGCTTGGTGGTGTGTGCCTGTAGTCCCAGGTGCTCAGGATGCTGAGGCAGGGGAATTGCTTGAACCTAGGCAGTGGAGGATGCCGTGAGCACTGCATCGTGCCACTGCACTATAGCCTGG